CATCTTGGATGACATGGAGGCGAGTAAATTATCAGCTAAAGTTTTTTCAAAAGTGAACTAATCCTTTAAGTGTTAATAGATTGTGAACTCGATTCAAACGCTCACCCACGCGATCATATTTCTAAATGACGATTCGAATACGTCTGTTGAACCTTTGACGAGTACGGTCACTCAAGAGATTCGTTCAAAAACCCTGATTCATCCAATTATTTATCCACATAATAGAGAGTCTTATCAAATAATAACATATATTTCTGATCGTTATATAAATTAAAGACAGTGAAAGTACATGCATATATGAACAACAATAATCTTGATTCATACACATGTAACGTTAAACCCAAGCGCTTCCCCAGAGAAAGAGTCGAGCGAAAGAAGAAACTCCAGAGACAGTAAAAAGCAAAACCATAAGGAGGAGATAATGAGATCAAATAAAGTTCATCTGTGAGATTAAACACTCTCAACACGGATCTTCTTATTTATGCATAAAAGTTTCTGTTTGTAACACCATGAGTCATGAAAACTGTTCACTGTCGAGCCTTTATAGCTGTTATTGAGAAGTAAACATAACATTTATTATAACCTACCACCTCATCTCAGCACATGACGCCTCTCCGCCGTATTTCCTCGCGCGCGCTGTGTGTGTGTGTGTGTGTGTGTGTGTGTGTGTGTGTGTGTGTGTGTGTGTGTGTCGCCGCCTGCTGGTGTGGAGGGTGCGCGACTCCACTGACCGCCACACGGGGGCGCAGGACCGCCACTGTTCAGCTCCACATTCATCAACACATTATAATAGCGTTCATTACTAATTGTTATAACCTTCTATTATGCTCTTCACGTCATCAATATATTGCATTTAGAAATATTGTTTCTCTGAATTTTGTGATTTAACATATGCAGCTTTAGTGAGGATAAGATTACAAGGTGGCATATATTAGAAAATATAGTAAAACAGTAAATAATTAAATTATTAAAATTAACATAAGTAAAATAATAGCTTTTTAACCTGTATATTTCAATCTAATTCTAACTATCTTTCTTTATTTACTACTTTGACTTTATTTAGGTAATGCTCATTGTTAAAGCGAGAGAAGAGGCAGAATGGAGAAACGCACTGAAGTCTCCAGAGCTGCAGTTTCATTCGTTCATCATCATGGTCTCATATCGAGTGATTTCAACACAATGATCCTCGTTCTCCTCGTTCTCTGTGTTCATGAGGATGGCAGATGTCAGGAACACTTGAGAAGGGCCGTCTCTCGAGCCTCACTCTCCGTCTGTGCTGATCAGCGCGTCTCATTCATCATTCATCATTCATCAGACCCAGATCAGTTTCATCTCTGAGCTCCTCCTTCAGCCAGACTCACGCAGACAAACACACACACACACACATGCTTTATTTATCCGCATCAACACCTGCTGAGAGCTTTTAATTCAACAAAACATAATTTAATTCTATTGGTCCTGTCATCCAGTTATGAATTCAGGCGTGGACTTGTCCTCAGACGTGCTTGTGAAATCATCCAAAAACTCATCAGATTAATGTTCCCTCTCAGCAACACCATCCGTAATCAATAACATATGGATTCATCAGCGTTGAACCACACACACACACAAACATCCTCTATCTGTATCAAATGATTCATTTACATCTGACAGACTATTATGGAATATAAAAGGTATTATTGTTGCATTTTAAATGTAAATGTATTAAATAATTAAACCATTTAAAATATTTCTAGTTATTAGTAAATTTAAGATTCTTTCACTTTTGAATTACTTAATGTATATTCTTCCAGTTATTTATTATTTTAATTTGTACTCCTGCATATTTAACAGCTGTTGTTTATACACTATAAGAAAAGTCTGAAAAAATACGGCATGATGTACTGTGTTAATATGAGTATAATTACAGTATTAACGTTTCACAGGCATTCACCCATAATAGAATTACACCTTTCATTGTGTTTTAGGGTTGAAGGAAATGTCCTTAAAGATAAAGAAGAACTGTTCCTGTCAGGACAGTTTTCAGAAGATTTTGTGGTAGTGTATGATTTCCAAAAAAAAATCAGTAATGATAAGATCTCAACAGAATTCTATTCTATTTTAAATTATATTCTACTGTACTGTACTCAATTCTATCATATTCAACTCTTCTTTACTCAACTCTATTCTACTCAATTATATTCTACTCTCCTTAATTATATTCTACTCAATTCTATTCTACTATTCTCTTCTCTATTCTGCTTTACTCTGTTCTACTCTGATTTACTGTACTATACTCTATTCTGCTATATTCAAATCTATTCTACAATCCTCTCCTGTACTCCACTCTAGTCTACTCAATTCTACTCTGCTCTACTCTAGTCTACTCTCCTCTACTCCACTCTTCTCTACTTTTCTCTACTCTACTCCTCTCTACTATATTCTACTCTACTCTTCACGACTTTTCTCCCCTCGTCTCTACTCTGCTGTACTCTACTCCACTTCAGTCCACTCTACTCTATTCCACTCTACTCTACTCTTCTCCTCTCTACTATACTCTACTCTAACTCTACTCTTTTCCACTCCACTCTACTCTATTCCACTCTACTCTACTCCACTCTATTCCACTCTACTCTACTCCACTCTACTCTATTCCACTCTACTCTACTCTCCTCCTCTCTACTATACTCTACTCTAACTCTACTCTTTTCCACTCCACTCCAGTCCAGTCCACTCTACTCTACTCTATTCCACTCTACTCTTCTCCTCTCTACTATAACTCTACTCCACTCCACTTCAGTCCACTCTACTCTATTCCACTCTACTTCACTCTTCTCCTCTCTACTATACTCTACTCTAACTTTACTCTTTTCCACTCCACTCTACTCTATTCCACTCCACTCCACTCTACTCTATTCCACTCTATTCCACTCTACTCCACTCTACTCTATTCCACTCTACTCTACTCTTCTCCTCTCTACTATACTCTACTCTAACTCTACTCTTTTCCACTCCACTCCAGTCCAGTCCACTCCACTCTACTCTACTCTATTCCACTCTACTCTTCTCCTCTCTACTATACTCTACTCTAACTCTACTCCACTCCACTTCAGTCCACTCTACTCTACTCTTCTCCTCTCTACTATACTCTACTCTACTCTAACTCTACTCCACTCCACTCCACTTCAGTCACCTCTACTCTATTCCACTCTCTTCTCCTCTCTACTATACTATACTCTAACTCTACTCTTTTCCACTCCACTCTACTCTATTCCACTCCACTCTACTCTATTCCACTCTACTCTATTCCACTCTACTCTACTCCACTCTACTCTATTCCACTCTACTCTACTCTTCTCCTCTCTACTATACTCTACTCTAACTCTACTCTTTTCCACTCCACTCCAGTCCAGTCCACTCCACTCTACTCTACTCTATTCCACTCTACTCTTCTCCTCTCTACTATACTCTACTCTACTCCACTCCACTTCAGTCCACTCTACTCTACTCTTCTCCTCTCTACTATACTCTACTCTAACTCTACTCCACTCCACTCAACTTCAGTCACCTCTACTCTATTCCACTCTCTTCTCCTCTCTACTATACTATACTCTAACTCTACTCTTTTCCACTCTTCTCTACTCTACTCCACTCCACTTCAGTCCACTCTACTCTACTCTTCTCCTCTCTACTATACTCTACTCTAACTCTACTCCACTCCACTCAACTTCAGTCACCTCTACTCTATTCCACTCTCTTCTCCTCTCTACTATACTATACTCTAACTCTACTCTTTTCCACTCTTCTCTACTCTACTCTACTCCAGTCCACTCTACTCTATTCCACTCTACTCTTCTCCTCTCTACTATACTCTACTCTACTCTTCTCCTCTCTACTATACTCTAACTCTACTCTACTCTTTTCCACTCTACTCTACTCTACTCTCCTCTCCTCAGTGTATTGTCTCCTTCAGTGAGTTAGTTTGCAGGTGTGAGTGTGTGAACCTGATCCCGTGTCCTCAGTCATGAATAATTGACCGGTGAGTGTTCAGTGTTGCCCTGAGACTCAGATCTGATCATCAGAGCATCAGGTGGAGCAGAAGTGAAGGATGTCCAAGAGACGATGGGTGGAATTCAGGATCTGCCAAACCATCAGCTGTTCAACTCCGGTGGGCCGCAGGAGTAGACCAGCATCCCCTGCTGCGGCCGCAGGTAACACACACACGCAGAGAGAGTGTGTGAGAGACTGATCTGGGTCAATTACTGTAATGGACTGAAATATAACATGTAGAAATAGTGCATGAAGTCTCTATTTCAATGACCTCTTGCTGTGTGTTTAGTAATAAATGACACGAGATGTGTGCAGAAGGGTTACATGCGTGTGTCTTTTGAGACTAAATCAATCCAAAATACCTGAAACGACATGGATACAACACCATACAGGGCCTAAATGAGCAGAATTCCAAAAGTTGGAAAAATATGGTATTACTGTAATATTCAAATATGATTAAATGTGTAAAGTTGTGAAAATTGTGATAATAATGAAAGGAAACATGCCAGATTGCGCTTATTTATTGTCCTGGCAGTCAAACTAAGAAATTATGAACAAGAAACAATTATGATTATGTTGTAGTCAATGTATGCTTTTCCTTGTTTTTCCTATGCATTATTTGCATATAAAATAAAACCCATTGCTGTAGTTTGCATTTTTTTTGTCAAATAATTTTATCAGATAAATTAACCAAGTTTGGCGTTTTGTTACTCCCTTATTTTGCAAATATTTAAATAATATAAAATATATTCCTCATATTTTGACAGCAGTGACATTAAAACCAAATCACGTTTTGCTACTAATCTAGGTACAATGCGACAAGCGCATACAAAAATCTCGATCGGCATAATATACAATGTAATCATCAATTATTTATATTTGCACGATTGGCAGTTTGTTTGTAAAGCGATATTTGCAGTGTCAGGCTTTAGCAGCGTGTGAGCGCACGGTGACGTCACCGCGCCGGGAGTCTCGTGTGTTTACGTGGAGAAACATGGCGGCGACTGTGAGTCTGACAGCAAATCCCGAATAAAACACAGCGAAACCCCGAAAACCCACAGGAGTTGCCGTCCGAGCCGAAGCGAACACACATGTCAGCGGTCCGCGTTCAGCGCTAAGTGTGTGTGTGGCACGTTAATGACACGGGTGTGTGGTGTTTAAGCCGCAGGAACCGCAGAGATGATGGAAGACGAGGAGCGACAGAGGAAACTGCAGGCCGGCAAAGCCAAGGTGAGATTAAATACCTCATGCTTACCTGTCTGCTTTCGTTTACCTCAGAAAACACCCCAAGCCTGAGATTTACCTCAACTTTACCTCATTGCTCTAGTTTACCTCAGAGTTTAACGCCCATCTCTGAGATTCAGCCAACAGCTGTCATGTCATTTACTTCACTGACATCTGTGATTTAACTCAAATTACCTCGAATTTACCTCTGTTACCCCCAACTGCTGTCTTTTACCTCAGAAAACAACTGGCACTTGTGATTTAACTCACTTTTAGCTCTACTTTACCTCAGAAAACAGCTGACACTTGTGATTTAACTCACATTTACCTACATTTTACTTCAGAAAACGCCTTACACTTGTGATTTAACTCACATTTAGCTCTATTTTTACCTCAGAAAACAACTGGTTGTGATTTAACTCACATTTACCTATATTTTACCTCAGAAAACACTGTACACTTGTGACGTAACTCACTTTTAGCGCTATTTTACCTCAGAAAACAGCTGACACTTGTGATTTAACTCACATTTACCTATATTTACCTCAGAAAACGTCTTACACTTGTGACTTAACTCGCTTTTAGTGGTATTTTACCTCAGAAAACAGCTGACACTTGTGATTTAACTCACATTTATGTACATTTTACTTCAGAAAACATCTTACACTTGTGACTTAACTCACTTTTAGTGCTATTTTACCTCAGAAAACAACTGGCACTTGTGATTTAACTCTCATTAACCTGCTATTTTCCCTCAGAAAACACCACTCTTGATTTAACTCACATTTAGCTCTTTTTTACCTCAGAAAACACCTTACACTCGTGATTTAACTCGCATTTAACTCACATTTACACCTCTATTTTACCTCAGAAAACAGCTAACACTATTGATTTAACTCACATTTACCTATATTTTACCTCACTGCTAACATTTACCTCCTTATAAATCATATCTGAGAATTAATTGAGATTTACTGTATAGTAATGCTGCCTTATCGGAAATTTCTCACTTCCCAAGTTTTGAATACGAGTTCGTCTTGTTCAAGTGCTTTGCTGTCAGAAAGAACCTGCATCATGGAGGAATATTCTTGCCTATTTACTGGATAAGATCAATCTTATTAAAGTCAAAATGATATATAGTGTCTCATTCTCTGACAACCATATAAACATTCACTGTGCTATATCTTGATAGTCAGCTTTGCTGACCAAGTTTTGGTCAAATACAGGCTATTTTTGTTGTTGTAAAAATATGCAAAATGATTATTCAGTAATGTAAATATGCACTACTTTAATAACAAGACAAGGCGATGTAGCTGTTATGGAAAAAGCACACATTTACTATAATTCCAATAGCACATGAAGGCAGAATAACTCTTATGAGTTTTTGTGTTGTTTGTTTTTGAGTAGGCTAGTTTGCTTGTCATGCAGTGAGCTCTCGTTGATCAATATATGAACAGGCGAAGTCATTGTGAATATGACTGCAGTTACCGGATTAACATAACACTTCCTCTGCTGTTCCATGGGCTTGTGAGACTGGATTTTCTAGAGATTGCTTAACCGGATCTCTCCCCGCATGCCTGTCATTGCTCAGATCTCTCAGCTCTTCAGGTCTCTATAACCCTCTATAGCGTGTCAGGACAAAGAGCTTTTGACTTACGTTTTCTACACACTCCATCCACACTAGTGTTTTCAAGCATTATCCTGAAGCTTCTTGTTAGCACTGAAACATTGGAAAACGCTAACATCATCTCACAGTGCATGCATTAAACATAATGAGAAGTAGACCAGATATTATAATATTATCACGCTATTCCATCTTTGTTTGATTTTTCAGCAAAATATCTCTGTTTTGCCGCAGGACAGCTTGCGAGTAAATTTTCTGTTGTCTTTCGCAGGAATGTAATATGAGGTAACATTTATCTTGAACAATACTGAACAATACAATACTGTGAAAGTGAACTGCACAGCAGCCACATATGAAATCCGTTTTCTCTGTTTGTTTTTTTCCCCAGTATTTAAATTTTTCATTAAAAAAAATTCTCTTCATATTTTCTGGACTTTTTTCGTGGTTGTGTGTGAGAGAAAGTGTGTGTGAGAGAGAGAGTGTGAGTAAGTAAGTAAGAGAGAGATTGTGTGTGAGAGAGAGTGTGTGTGTGTGTGTGAGAGGGAGAGTGTGTGTGTGAGCAATCAAAAAAGCATGTCAAATTGAAATAATAAATAAGATTTATTATTTTTATGACTAGATTCTGGAAATCATAAGGCCTTATAGATACAAAATGAGTCACATGACTAAAGAAACATGCATCATGGTTTTCAAATACGTCTGTTTTCACTGTCCACACACTACAACACAAAAACAACATTTTAAAAACCATGCACTTGAGAAACATCTTCAAAAAGCTTTTGAGCATGACTTTTAAATGCATTTGGATTGGTGTTTGAATCAATAATATTGCATTATATCAGTGATTTATTGTTCTTTAGGTGTCGTATCAGTGTGTAAACCTGTAATGATGGAGCATGAGTTTCTGCACACACTGGCCACGATAACAGAGTTATCTCAGAAAAAGAGTGAGCATATGTGGCCGAGGTCACAGATGTCGACCTCTAGAGACTCGTGTGGCTGATTCCCGCTGACAGGTTTACATGATGTCCCGCTGAGCGCACACACACGCGTCACACACACCTCATCTCCGTCCACCTGTGCTTATATGAGGGAGAGACATCTACAGTCAGTCTGTCTGTGGCTAACGATTAATCGCATCCAAAATAAAATTGTGTGTAATGTGTGTAATTATTTTGTATATATAAATACACACACATGCATGTATATATTTAATGAATATTTGCCTTTATATACTTTATATATAATTTATATGATATAAATAACAGATTTCTTCTTAAATATGTATGTATGTGTGTGTATTTATACACTGCACACACATTATCTGAACACAAAATTTTATTTTGGATGCGCACGGCAGTATTTTGGACTGAGTTTGAGCAACACAATACTGTGAATAACACTTTTTTTCTTTATTCCACCATTTTACACCTTCAATACTGTGAATATGAATCTTTATTGAAGAAGATAATTTCTTATTTCATGCGTTGTTTACACTCGAGTTCATTTGAGCATGAATTCTTGAATCAAATTAAATGTCATCTTGGCATCCAGCTTTCATTTCTCAGCTTTCCTCAACTAGTCGATTAGTGCTGCAAACCAACGTCACGTTTACTCTGTAAATGCCAAGAGCTGCTGAATAAAGACGCCTGTGATGGAAAGAGATGATTCATTCATATTTGCTTTTGTAAACATTCGGAGTGAATGCGAACAAAAGCAGAAAAACACGTTTCTTCAAATTGAGCTGCTTTGGAGCAGAAATAATTTGTTGCGGTCTGAGTGTGTGTTGTGTCCAGTAAAATATGACAGGCTTTCAGTGTGTAATAGTGCATCTCTTCGACAGCGCGTTCGTAGAGTTGTCTGTGATTTTGCAGTCACATGACCCATCTCTCCTCAGCCTGACATGCATTCAGTTGAATAGATTTGAGCTGCGACGGATCACAAAACTCAAGGTTTTGAGCCACGGATCGGATAATATTTTAGATCAGAAAAAAGAAAAAATATGTATGTAATTTTGCTTTTCATTTATTACTGAAAGCTCACTTGAAGTTCTTGGATAGCACATCAAAAAGCATTATTAAACACAAGTGAACCGTCAGTAATAAAATAAGTAGGGTTGGGTATCGAGAATCGAGTATCGATTGGAATCGGGACTAACTTTTCGTTTTTCCCGGAATCGTTCAAAAGTAAAAATTTCAATTCCTAGTTTCGATATTCACAGTTCGCCGAGCGGAAGAAGAAACGAAGAAGCGTCTACCGGAAGTGTTGGCATAACCGCGCGAGTCGAACATGAGTAGCTTACGTCGGCGGTCCAAAGTGTGGCTTCACTTTTCTAAAAAATAACGAAATCTCGGCAAAATGCAAAATTTGTGACAAAAGGAGTATTTCCTTCAGAAAGGCCGTTGGTTAGCAAGGTTAGCTAAACTTTTTTTGACCCTGCTTCTTAAAAGAATCGGAATCGAGAATCGTTAGGAATCGGAATCAAAACAAGGAATCGGAATCGGAATCAGAATCGTTCAAATTCAAACGATACCCAACCCTAAAAATAAGAACAAATCGCATGCAGAAATGAACTAAATAACAGTTTAACAGACGTCTAACAGAAGTATTCAGGTGCAGAAATGAATTATCCTAAATGTAAAATAACACTTTTTGTTAGCTGTAGAATTAAATATAGTTTCATCTTTGTTAAAGCTGTATTTTGTTGTTTTATTGACATTAACGACTGCAGGAATATTAGGCGGCCGTCACTTTAAGACCGAATAAACTGACACACATCCGTTTCTTGCCCGACTTTCTCAACAGAACCGAGAGAATAGCAATATACGATAGCAATAACAGAATATACTCGCCGAGACGGGCATTTAGACATCATTTTGTGTTTATGTGTCTGTGCAAGGGCAAGGAAACGTGAAAGAGGAATCAATTCTGTGTTCAAGCTCTCTCACACACTCTCCATCTCTCTCTCTCTCCTACTCACTCCTCACTCTCTCTCTCTCTCTCTTTCTCTCACTCACTCACTAACACTCTCTCTCTCTCTCTCTCTCTCTCACTCTCTCATCTCTCTCACTCACTCACAATAGTTTTGATGTGTAAATTAGCAGGACAAAACACGTCCAAATGATAAACTTTCACTCTGACGGTAAAATGTAGCAGTAAATCATGCGCGGACTGGGGCAGCGGGTCCGTGCGGGTCACGATCTGTTGCGCCCCTGATTGTCACTGTACGTGTAAACAGTCTCTATTTTTGTCAGTAATGAAGGAAGAACAACAGCAGTGTCATGACATGTCGTTAGATCACCGTAGGTCATTGGTCGAGCTACGCAAGGTCCGTTTCCCAGTGAATTTAGCAATTTATCATCGTGAGTGCGTTGCGAGTCGC